TCTTTTGCAAGATAAACTTGTAACTGTAAGAAGTTTAGCCAATTCTTTTCCCCTTTTTTTCACCCCCCCTCTAAATCTGTGTTTTTTTTACTTTCTATAGTCTTTAGGTAATGTTATGAGTTAAACTGTCTACCCTCAAAAATGTTTTTCATAAGTTGAAGCTATGACCTCCATTACTTCAGAGTGTGAGGTTATTAAAAATAAGATCATCGCAGATGTAATTATTGAAGATGGGGTCACACTGTAAAAGGGTAGGTCCTACTCCAAAGACTGATGTCCTTAAAAACATGTCAAATTTGGGGACACACACACACACACACACACACACGGAGAGCTCTGTGTGAAGATAAAGGCAGAGGACAGGTTGTTGCTTCTACAAGCCAGGAAATACCATGAGTGCCAGAAAGGAGAGAGGAATGAAGCTGATTCTCATCAGAAAGAATCAACCTGTGAGTGATTTGATCTTGGACTTCTAGACTCTAGAATATAAGAGAATAAATTTCTGTTGTTTAAGCTACCAAGTCTGTAGTAAATTAGTGGATTATAAAAGCTTATTCCACCAAATCAGGAGTGAAATGGTCTTACTTGTCTGACAATAAATTCATATTCTCTCTATAGCTCTAGATTTCATAGCTGTAAAATAAAGATAATAATACCACCTCATAGCATTTGTTATGGGTTGTGTTCAGATGTCCCGCCAAAGCCTCACGCGGATGATGTGGGATTTTCTTTTTCAGAGGTAGCTGAATTTGGAATGTGTGATGCTGGGATTAAGGACATGTGACTACTAAACCACAACACATGAGTGATAGGTTTAGCACTGCCCTAATCCCAACAGTTTGGATGGGATAAAAGAGGCAGAAAGACTTAATGAAGGGCTCCCTTGCTGCCTTTGCTACCTTGTGCGTGCCATGTTGTCTCTCCTTTGCAATGTCTGTTTTCCATCCCTGCCTTGGAGCCAGCTGATTATGAACAGAAACCTCTAAGAACTATAAGCCAAATAAGTCCCTTCCCCTTCAATTTTGGATGGCCAGTATTTTGACTCAGCAACGAGAGATAAGTAACTGAACACAGAATTACTGGAAAGATTAAGTAAGCAGAGAGATATGTATATCACATGGAGAACAACGCCTGGAACTCTGCACACTCTCAGTCATTATTAGCCGTCCTTGTCCTTCACTCACCAAATAAAACAGATACAAACTTCTGACTCTATGAAATTTACTTTGTAGTGAGAGGATGCAGGAAATAAATAAGTAATTATGAAATACCTTGGCCAGTAACAAGTTCTATGAAGAGAAATAATGCAGAGATTGTAGACAGAAAGGGACACAGTTGGGTCAGGCAATTTTTAATAAAGTAGCCCAGGGAAGCACCACTGAGGAAGGTACAGGAGTGCGTAACTGGAGAAGGAGCATTCCAAGTTGTATTGGTTCCTTTTCTCTTATGGTAACAAAATACCCATGGCTGGGTCCTTTATCTAGCTCAATTTTGGAGGCTCAAAGCCCAAGATGAAAGAGCGCCAAGTTGGGCCTCTGGTGAGGGTACCTTTGACTATGTCACAACAAGGTGCAGAAGAGGTAAGGAAAATGGTTGCGAGAAAGAGTCCAAGTACGTGGAGTGGCCTCGCTTTTTAACAACATGCCCTCCTAAAGACTAACCGGTGTCCCATTAAGCCTTTCTGAAGGCAGTTACATAACTACCTTCCCACTAGGCCATCATCTGCTCAATGTTCTACAACTCTGGACACTGCCATATCACAGATCTGACAGGCTTTCCCTATAGATCAAATGTGATGATTGAAACAGAAGAGTCCAAGACGACTCAAGGTTCACAACCTGTTAGACTTGAGTGTGCCCCTTCCCCAACGGTCATGTACTGGAACCTAAATTCCTCAGAGTGTCAGTGTTGGGAGGTTCTGGGGTCATGCGGACTGAGCCCCCCTGGATGGATTAATGATGTTTTTAGGTACCATAGGAGTTCCCCTTTTCTTTCACATGTTCCAGCCAATTCTTCCCCTTTTTGCCACAAGTTGAAGCAGCATAAGGTCCTCCCCAGAAGCCAAGAAGATTCTGACACGTTTTTAGATCTCCAAGTCTCCCAAGCATGACACAAGACAAATCCCTTTCATTATAAATCACCCTTTCTGTTATAGCAACAGAAAACAGACTAAGACAGTACTTATGCAACTACAAGAACATTTCCCTTAACTGAATTGGGAAAGACTTTTGCAATCATGGCTTAGAGAAGGAAAGAACAGAGTTGTTGGTACTACTATCCTTCCTCTTCCCTTTATAAGTATCATCATTTCTATAATGAGAAGTAGATATGTCAATATTTTCCCTGTATTTCCAGCCCTTTCATATACTGTATCTGATTTTCTTTCTTTTTTTTTTTCCTAGCAAGTATTGAACAGCTGCACATCCCATGATTTTCTCAGGACTTTACATCTAGCTGGTCCCTTTCGAGATGTAATTTTGTCTCTCAGAGAAATAGATGCACACTTAGCAAGCATCTCGAAAGTGGCCAGCCAACCTTAACTCTGTCCTTTTGCCAACATAATCATACCATTTTTCTCAATCCACCCAGGAAAGCCTGCATGTGTCATATGTCACTGTTCTTTGCTTTTTCTCGCTTTATTTTTCTCCCATTTATCCTAGTTTTCATTAATCTTTCCCTTGATTCTTTCACACTGAAAGGACTGCCTGACCTCATTCCCAGTAGCTCTCCTATGATAACGTCTGTTACACAATAGATCTCCTGGCCTGTGTTCCTGACTCACCCTTTTCCTCCAGTGTTCAATTTCAACTCTTTACTGTAAGAAAAAGTCAGCTGATGTCTCTAGGTATGTTTGCTCCTCTGTAAAATAAATAAATTAGATTTGATTATCTTTAAAGATAGTTTCAGCTTTAACATCTGACTGTATTTAGGTTTTCAGCACTTTTTGTTTTGGGACTTTTGTTTGGCTTGTTTTGTTGTTTTGTTTTGTTTTGTTTTGTTTGGGGGTCTTTGGTGATAAATTTTCATTTTTTAACCTTACTTTCAAATCTCTCATTACTTCTCATCATTTCCAAAGTCCTAACTACTCTTTTTCATTGTTATTTCTTAGGCAAGTCAACTGGATTTCGCCTACAACATTAATATTGGTAAACATAAAGGGTTTTTTTTTTTTTTTAGATTTTTCTAACTGGTACAGAATAAGAGAAGGATAATGTGTGAATTCTCAAGGAAAGCGTCTTAGTTACTTTTCTCATTGCTGAGACAAAATACTTGATACCCACAGTTAAAGGAGGAAAGGTTTATTTAGCTGAAAATTTAAAGAGTTTCCAGTCCATAATCATCTGGCTCCGATGCAAGGTGGCATAGAAGAGAGGCATCATAGAGGAAAAACAGTTCATGGAAAGCAGAAGAATGTAACAGGGCGGGAAGCACTCACACCCAGGCTGGGCAGCCTTAACCCTAACATTGTATGAAGAATCAATCCCAGCATCACATCCTTGATCCCAGCGTCACACACCCTAGATCCAGCCATTTCTGAAAAGCCCCACCTGTGACCACAAGGCTGTGAGGGGACATGTAGATACAAGCCATAGCAGAAAGCAATTTGGATGTGTCCTTAACGTGAGATAAATCTATGACTTCCTCTCAGAAAACTGTGATTGAAAAGTTATTTGGGGCTTAAGGTGCAGCTCGATGTTAGGACACACATTTAGTTTAGACTCTGGCACCCTCCCCCAAAAAAGTATCGTTAATGCCAGTGATAAGCAGCTAGTGACGTCATATCTGATTTGATTTTTTCGCATTCCAGAAGTTTTCATCCTCACTTCTTTGTGGTGCCCCACCTTTGACTTCCTTTGTCATGAAACTGCTGATTTTTAATAGTTGAATGAAAAAGTAAAGGTGAGAAAGAAGAAATAATTTAGATCAACTAACTGCTCTTTTTACAAATAAAAACTGTTACATTCTTCTGAAATTAAAACTTAGCTGGTAACAAAATAATTCTGTTCACAAAGATTTTTTCAAACGTTTTATTTAGCAAAACTTCCAGATGACTTTGAAATAAGAGAGGATATTCAAAAACATTCTTTAACAGTCCTAAACTGATTCTATCTATCAGAGCAAAAGGAACAAAGGAAAAAATCCCTCCAAAAAACCTATTCGATAGTAGAAATTATACAGCATTTTTCTTAAATGCTAAGGAATTTCACACACACATACATTCTTACCAATATTAGTTAGAATATTCCATTTTCAAGATTAAAATTTTACTTGACACAATTAAGTGGGTTCTCAAATACAATAGCAATTTCTAGCTATTTTAAGGAAGAGAGCTGGGCTCCCAAACTCAATGCTAGTTTATAATTTTAACATTGCAAAATTGCAGGAGAAATATTTCCTGTCTAGCCTCCTGTGCCTCAAGCAAATGTCACTTCCCCTGAGTGCTACCACTGTAAGGCACCTCCCGCTACTCTGAGCTCTATTGGAACTTGTGTCTTTTTAGCCCATCCCTCCCAAATCAAAGTCTTTTATACCTACCAATAGGAATTTGTAAAAAAAAAAAAAAAAAAAACAGAAAAATTAATAATCACTATAGTTTAATATTTTAGAATCTCATTTCATTTATTCAGCATGTGGCATGGGACAGCTGATTTAACCACTTTCGGCCTTAGCTCCCTCATTTATAATGGAGACAATGAAGCCTTCCTTGTAGAGTCCTATGAAGACAGCTCTTTTCTTTTTCTTTTTTGGTACTGGGGATTGAACTCAGGACCTTGTGCTTGCAAGGCAGGTGGCAGAACCACTGAGCTAAATCCCCGGCCCCTATGAAGACAGAATTGGATAAAATGACAGCATGCCTCATAGCACACAGCGGCACTCAGTGACTTCCCCATCCTATATTCTACCACATTGCTCAGTTCAGTCTTACACTACAGCTGGCTGAACTCAGGTCTTTTTCTGGGCTGTACACTTCTAAAGGTAAAGTCTTGCTCCTCTTTGTATTTCCCATACAACCCAGGGGGGTGAGCTCCATACTGAGGGACAGTAACTGTGTGTTGTGCTAAATTGAGGGCTGAACCAGGATCAGACTGAAGTCGTGGAACAACGTTCTGCAGATTCTGGCTCTTCTGGAAATATAATTCCTCTCACGCCACACTGGCCTTGAGATAATTCACCATGGTTTAAATTAATTTTCACAAAAAAGAATTACTGCCCTAAATTCCTCAGCAACTTATCAGAACATTATTCCATTTCTCACTGCTGCAGGGATCAATCTTATTCCGAGAGGGACAAAACTGAACTTACTACACTAAGCTGAAAAAAATGAGTTGTCCTAAAAACAAAACTAAGCCAAATAAACTCAAGTTACAAACTCCAGTCATCTCTGATTAGCCATGAGACTTTGCACAAGTTACCTATGTTCATTAAACCTCAATTAAAACAGAAACAGAGATTACTTTGTCACTGGGAGTTGGGTAGGTAAGGAAGGTGATGCCTAGGAGTAAACTTTAACAACTATGAAACAGTATGCAAAATCAAAGCCAAGAAAGCCACTGCTTTGCCCCGGTTGAGTCTTCTGTCACATTCTAGGCTTTCACCTTTATTCCCTCCTTTGGCAAATGACTGTATTTCAGTTCAGTTCAATAGAAAAGCAGTGTGTGTGTGTGTGTTGGGTGTTTGTGTACAAGTGTAAGCATACATGCACATCAGTGATGAAAACCACATAACCTGCTGTCTTTTCTTCTGCGTTCCAGAGTTACAATGCAACTAGAAAGTGCTGTTGTGAATCTACAACACAATCCACGCAGCAACTGTAAAGCAAGGTAGTCTTCTGCCTGCAGCAGGGGACTGGACACATCCTTTTTCAGTCTGAGGCTAGAACAGTACTGCGCAGCCCAACTGCTTGTGGCGTTTTCTCAGGTGTCAGTCACAGCTCCCTTTGTAAAGTATCTCCAAGATGCAGACCAACCGAAGTATAATAGACGGCCCCAGATCAAAGGGGTGGCCTGGAGCAGGAACCAACATCTGCAGTCCTTGCTGTTCAGGTAAGATCTTTGTTTCTAGGCCATTTCACTAACACAACCTCAGGCTCCTTAAGACACTGGGAGGAAGGGGAGGCAGGACAGCCAGCTACAGATTGCACACGGAAGAACGAAGCTTCCCAAACTTCTGGTAAAAGTCTTCTTGTGCCCGTTCCAGGGCCTCTTCATCAATGTACACAGCCGGCCTCTTGGCCATGAGGAAGTACTGCACCTTCCTCAGGTTCCAGCCCATCACATACTGCAGCCACCCGCTAACGGCCGCGGTAGAGCGGCCCACCCCGGCGTTGCAGTGGACGTACACGGTGTGGCCGTTCTCGAGAAGGGCGTGCAGGAGGCACACGGCCTGGGGCAGCATCTGCACACGGCCTGGGAGGGAAAAAGCACAGCACAGATGTGAATAACGAAGACTCCACTGCCCCCAGCTCGTGGCGACACCATAGTGCCACACAGGATGAGGCAGGGATCGGACACCGCTTCACTGCTTAATTCAAAGGAAGAAGAGGGCCGGAGTTTTAGCTCAGTGGTTCCAGCACAAGGACCTGAGTTCGATCCCTGGTACCAAAAAAAAAAAAGGGCAAGAAGTGAAGCAGGTTTCAAACACAGTACTAATAAAGCGTAAATAGCACTGGAGTCAATGGTCTCTCTGAGTCCTCATGGATATTAGTGCTCTTTTCATTCACTTCACCTTGGATGCAAATTTCCTTCCAAAGAAAAGACGAGTATCACCTATTGTCAGAAGAATGGATTGTTACACCTGTCAGAAGGGCTTGCAGAGATCTGGCCAAGACTTCAAAAGATGTCAGAGGAAACTGGTCAAATCCTGTCACCTGAATTTCATTTCATTCAAATGTCCTTACAGACAAATGTAAAACATGAAGTCAGTCCATACTGATTGAAGAATGAATCTTTTTCATTGACTGGATAAATGCAGTATGAAGCAGAATCTAATACGCTAACTGTCATTTGGCTAGTGGAATGGCTAACTCAGAGCTGACAGGTGCGGAATAACGGATCCCTCACTTATCCCATCACAATACAGTGAATACAGAAACTGGTGACATCTGTGCTTTGGGGCAATCATGACTATAGCTATTGTTGGTTTCTGCAATTCTGACTGCTGTTTTGATTATAAGATTATCCAAATGTCCTCCCCTGAGGGGACATGCAGTGTCCTGCTGAGCCTGGGAGAAGCATCCCACAGTCAGCCTTGGGCAACTGGATGCCCAGGGTTTCTTCTGCTCACAGGTCTCACTGCAGAGATATTTAGCTAGTGAGGGTTTTTACTTGGTTGGCTGATCTGGAGGGTGGGGGTGATCTTTCGAAGGGACAGAAGAGGGAAACTCTACAGAGTCCTGGGTTATAACTATGTGCTTATACCATGGCATTTCCTAGATATTTCTGTCCTCCACAGAGGGACACAATGGCAGAGAAGGAACCGCCAAGGACTGTGAATCCCCACCGCCGCTCCCTTGGGTGATGATCTCTCCTGCAAATCTTCCCTGAGGTCTGAAACTCTCTCATGAGAGCCACTCCAGTTACTTTAGCTTCCCGTCTTTAAATGTCCCTTTTTGAAAAGCAACTGCCCCAAAATAGCCAAGACAACACACTGGAATCAGGAACAATGCTGTGAAAGGATAAAGAAGACCCTATCACTCACCATCTACCTGACTTTGCACTCACAGTGCTCTGAGACTGGCACAAAGAGGCTGCACGGAAGCCGGAGTAACATTCTGGTCTTGCTGCCTGTGCTCTGCGAGTCCCTCTCACCGAGACATCTAAAGCTCCAGGTGCCCCCTGACAGTTTAGGAATGTTTCCACAGGAGTGCATTTAGGTGGGACACACTGCTCAGACCCCTCTCATTCTCTCCCTAGTGCCTGATCCTCTACTCCCATGCTCTCTGCCTAGTCCCTCGAGATACTTGACTTAGGGACACACCCACTCCAGTGTGTATCCTGATCTCTTACATCCATACTGGGACATGAATTTTAATTCGTCTAAATCTGCACATCTGGCTTCGGGGTGCTCTAAGGTTAGAGCTGAGTGCTCCAGCCTTGATCACAGTGTCCTCCTAGAGGTGTGAAATATCCTAGAGATGCAGCAGGGTATGGAGAGTGTCAGATGTGTCAGTGAGGTGCCTCACAATGGTAATGGTCTAGGATAGCACTGTGAGTTGGACCCAAATTTGTGTCAGGACACCAGAGGAGGCAAAGCCCCCGAGGTACATGTGACTGGCCTAGAGAGTGGTGCCACCTGCCTAACCAGAGGGCTTCTGTCCATGAGGCAGAGTGACAGGTTTGCTCCAGAGATTCCAGGTGGGAAGAAAATCCCACTGACAGCTCTGCAATGCATGGCTTTATCCTGCTTCTTCCATCACTAGCATTAGTTGACAAGCTGGCTGCCAAAATTCCATCCAAATACTATGTATCTCGACAGGAAATAAATAAGAATGTTCTTAATGTAGGGTTTTATCAAATGCTCACTCTAAGGACAAAACACAGTAGCCACTGGTAGTAGGAGCCACTGGACTCAGAATCCTGGTCCTGGTGCTCATCTTAGACATCTGTGTGTCCATTTTGCATACAAGGTCTTCACAAGGTCTTCGACAGACCCAGCCAAGCACGCTTTTCTAGTGCTTTCCAGACAGAAAGTCCCCAAGGACAGGTCTGCACTGAACAGCTTAAATGATTCACCTCCTTCCCCTCTCTCCTTACTTGTAAAAGGTTATTCAAGAGGCACGTGCACACTTTACAAGTTAAAAGGAAACTTCTGAAAGGCAGCTCAGCTGCCGTGTGGAGACTCCAATGGCTCTGGCTTCACACAGATTTCACCAATGGGACATAGACACCAGCTGCCTTCTCCCAGAACCACTGGGCCATCCCACCTAAGGATCATGAAATATTTAAGCTACATAGCAAATAAATAATTATAAGGAACCGCAAAACAGAAGCCATGACCAGTGTCTATCCATCTCAGCCTGGCCTCAGCTACAGCCCTTGTTTATTTTGACCTTCAGTGACTGCACCCTGCTTTGAGTGGTGACAAGTAACATTCATTGAGCCTTTTTACCTGCTGTTCTAAGCATTCTTCATAAAACGGCTCATTTACAACCACTCTTCAACAACTGTGAGGTCGGTACTAGTTTCGTCCTCAATTTTTATATGAAGGAAGTGAAGCACAGAGGTTTGCCCAGAAGTTATTCCCTGAGTACCCACTCAAACCCAGCCACTCACTCACACACCTCCAATCTGACTGCTGCACTATGTCCCTTCCCTAATTCCCTGGCTTCTGGAACTTTTCATCCCCTGTCTTGTTGATCTGAACTCTGAATCCGTTCTGTACCTGCTTACCTGCTCACACTGCTGTTCCTGCTCCCGTGTGAGTCACATCCTCCCTGAGCTATAGCACCCCTACCGTTACCCTAGAGGAGCTCTCTGCACCGAAAAGGCCCATGTCTGGGCTTTTAGATCCATCTTAAGGAGCCAGAGCTGAGACATAACCCACTGAGGAACAACAGGAGGGCCCCTGGGCCGGAGCTCACCATGAAACCCTGCACAACAGAGACAGCGTCAACCAGAGCAGCTAAACTCTAGGTTCCCTATACAGCGGCTCCACATATAACTTTATTTAATATGAAGTTTCCACTGTTCAAAATAGCAATACCTTAAGATAAGGCAAAAATCCAGATCTTTTTTATGTAAAATATTTTATATTTTAAATCCTGGCAACTAAATTGAGAAACTAAAATCTATGTAGGTCAAACAAAACCTTCTACCATCTGCGGTTCATACTTTGGAATTTAAAACAAGCCTTGGATCTCAGTAGATGCTCAATAAGCATCCATTAAGTGCACATATAAAAACAAAACCACAGCAAAACAATACCACCTATTTGATTTGAGACACTTCTAGCCCTTCTAATCTAATGTGTGGTCCATACTTGCTCCAGACTAATCCAACCCTAGAATTATTAGAAGCATCCTGAAAGCAGGCACAATTGTGTCAGGGTTGTGGTAAGAAGTGATGGAGCATTTTGGTAGGTAATTTGGAGCAAGCTGAGGCATTAGAGCCTGAGGTAAGGAAGGAGTCAAAAGTTCTTTATAGGTATGCTGTGTCTCAGGGTGACAGGAAGAAAGAATTCATGGCACAACTTTCAGCCTTTCCACCCCCAGTCCCCCGACACACACAGCTTTTTCCTTACTCCGGGGGCAGAATACGTTATTTTGTTTCGGCGTATATTCTTTTCTATCTTTGCAGCATATTACTGATAAGGTTTATTTCTATCTACAAAATCTTCTGATAGACTCTCAAAGACTTGGGACAAATCATACAGGCCCAACTTTCTGATTTTTCAAAGCCTTTTCATATCCAGTGTCTTAGCCTATTGTTATAAACTAGTAAAATAGAAATTACTATCTCCTTTTTCTGATGCAGGAACTAGCCTGCCAACGTCACACGGCCACTCAGCAAAGATAAGGCCCGAGCCCAGATATTCAGGCTCCAAGATCAGCCTCTTTAACAATGGCCGTGCTGAATCCAGTCTGTTGAGTGACAGAAAAGAACTGAGACTGTGGCTACAGAAGGGTGGCGAAGGACTGCAGAAGGGGCACTGGCTCATGCGGGAGGCCAGGTCAGATCATCCGCCATGCACGGCACTTCCTGAACAAAGCTCAGTCAGAACCCTTTCTGGGGGAAGGATATTTGAATGAGCGGATTCGTTTTGTTCAAGGGAGTGCTAGATTTGGGAGATTTCCATTTCTCAGAAGAAAGAGACAAACTAAATTTTAAAGACAGAAAAAAACTAAAAGCCTAAACCACCCTCTGCATGTGACAAAGTGTACAAGGATAGAAACTGACAGCACAATTGACCGAAACAGGTCTGAGGCAGGTCTGTGACAGTTGCACCTAAAAGACTGTCTCCTTCCTCAGACTTTATCTGACAACGTTGTGCTGAGGCTCAAAGTGCTTCTGAATGGATTTTTTTATTCTAGAATTTTAAAACTATTCAGATATATTAATCTATACATTCATTGGGCTATTATTATAAACCATGCAGATTTATCTATTGGTAAAATGTTCACCTGTCACTCAGGAGAGGCTGTTAACTGATTACCCCTCCATATCAGGCCAAAACAAAGAAACCCTTTATTTTAGTCTTATGGTTTCACTGTCTCGAGTGGGAGTGGTCCTTGTGCAGTCACCCAGGCTGTGGAAGTGCCTCTGCATGGACAATGGCCACTGACACCTTGGTGGGTGACCTAAGGACCTCAAAAGGGCTTTGAGAATAATGATAATGGGTTCTTGGGGATCTTTTCCCTCAAGCATTTACAAATCCCGACACTATCAAGCAAATTCCTTACTGGCAAGGC